TTTGCCCCGTAGAGACACGACTTGCGCGTGGTGAGGTCTCCTTCTTGAAGGCGATGGCGTTCGCGTTGGCGTCATGGTGTGGGCATAAACCGTATACGCTGTGGTTATGATTCTGGTGGAGTACAAGCTTTTGAGCTTTTGGCGACACTGACACTGACACTGACACTGACACTTCTTTGGTAGTTGGTGATTTAAGATGGCTTATCATATTCAAATGAAAGATGAAGTGGCTAACGATGTACAATAGAGTTTGCAACTTGCAGTTGCAGTTTCCCTGATAATGTGAAACGGTGCGAAATTCACATTCACTGTAACACCAGTACATTAAGTGCAAATCCATAAAATTCTCTGAAAGAATGAGAAATCTGCATAGGGGCTGCAATAAATCCGATTTTGAAACATCATTATCGAAAATATACCACAACTATCCAGATTTTACATCGCTTTATTAGATTTTTATTGCTCAATATATAGAAGGCTAGACACGCCAGCTTAGATATATTAATCATCTTCATAAGATACAGCAAGATAATTGACAACTTAAAATTTGTTGTTGCAGGCGTACAAACTTCACCATTGATACTTTTGAAAAGTAATACATCTGACTTAGCCGTGCTTCTGTTGTGAATTGGAATTGTTGGTTTGATGATAAACCCAAAGTGAAAAGTTTATTTTGTTCCTATGTATTCTACTCCTAGCGTTGCCATATTTATTTCAAATTACTCTGTAGGATCTGGTCTGTAAACCAATAAAAAGGACGGGGGGACGTAGGTACTGGCAAGGCACAGCAACTCAGTGAGCCCTAGACGCTCAATCTCACCCAAACCACCAGGCTATCGTTTTCTGTACGAACAATAGGTAAAACTTATGATTTTATTACCGATATCAACTTCTATATCGTTCTTTAACAGTATCGAGCGACGTCATCTCGACAGGAATAAATACAAGACAAGTAAATGCTGTGTCCTTGTGAGTTGACAACCTTTTTTTACTTTAATACGCGTATCACATTTATTGTTGCTTTTAAAATCACAAGCCTTTTTCTATTTTGTCCAAACAATGCAGCCAGTCTTTGCAAATAATCATAGTTCTAGAGGCCAAATGAGCCAAATGATCTCTCACTCAACTGGACGACTCACTGGCTGCTTATGTTCCGCACAATAATTTGGGTCACTCGACCTCATGCGCTCGATCAACTTAGCATTGAATTTGACAGTCGGTACAGCCTGCCAAAAGCCGTGTTGAGGTTTTCATCGTTTTTTATTGACAAAAGTGCAATTATTTATGGACTAAAAGAATATACGCGCATCCACCTCCAAAAATTCATGTCAAGTACCCAGTTTCAGTTTGATGATTAAAAATTTGCGCGAACTTAGATATCCGTTGAGTTTTTTTAGCATTAGATGCCCAAACATGCTGTATCCCCATATTCCGCTAGCTTGATGTTATTTGTGCTGAAGTGCTCAATTGTATGCTTATCCAGCCGAATGTTTCTTTTATTAGACAGAAGAAGCAGCCAAACGAACTCTTAGCATGCTGATGTCGATGTAATATTCTTGACTTGTTCCACCGATAGTTTGTTCCTCAAGGTATCCTATGTAAATTTGTATTAATTGTTATCTATTCCGAAGAACTTTTTAGTATCACATAGATATCTTCCTTGAAAACAGGAAAAGTTGCTGCGTCGACACAATACAGAACATAGTCCTTTTTGGAGCAACATGTGCAGACGGTATACACCCAATTATTGCCTCCAACGAGTCCTACAATTCTGTCTTTGATTTGTCACGCACCAACTTTGAAGAATGACGACACTTAAATATGCATCACGACGGAAAGCAAGATTAGCCCGAGAACGGGTGAGGCGCTCAAAAAAATCATGTTTTATCATGTGCAGCCGTCATTTCTTATTCAAAATGACGAACTCGATGCTAGGCAGGAAACAGCTTCCAAAAGCAATTGTCATCTGTAAGCATGCATTTTTGTTAATGAATAAACGTAACAATGTCAAGTTAAGCATTGGAGTTTCTACGCAAGAACTTTGATTTGAAACTATTTTCTTACTGACTGACAGCGATAGAATATAGACGAAAAATCTAAGCAAGGTTACGTCTCAGAGCACAACATTGGGTACATTCAGTTATAAAAGCTCTATTCATAGACAGACGTGGCCATTTCGCATAAAATACGTTTTTAGGAACCTTCCATTATTGAATTTCAAATTGGATGAATCCTTAACTCTTGATTTTGAAAGCTTATTGGATAAAAACATCCAATCTTTGATTTCATTTATTCAATTTGCTCTCATGGAGCTGCAGCCGCTACGACAACTTGACACTTCTCGCTACGACAGCGTCTCTAAGGTCACCACGACAGTCTTTTATCGATCGTCAAACCTATCTAACGATCACTCTACTTAGTTACAGCCTGCCGTGAGCAGCAAAGCCGCGGTCAATACCAAGCTATCTAATGTTTTTGGGGATTCCCGTGACATTGAGCGGATTAGTCGGTCTGTTTTTGTTGATATCTGGTACATAGTTAAGAAATCTTAACCAGTGTGTATTACTTGTTTGTTACCGTCGGCAAAGAAATTTAGATAATGGAAATTTCGGAGCTGCCATTGATTCAATCATGGCGTTGGTATCGGTCGTTTTTGCTGGCTTGTACATTATCAACACATACATTCCGTACAACAGTGTAAGTAATTTTATTTCTATAATGATACTGTATACGATCTTTTTTAGGAAAAGTACGTAATTGCAGCTCCCCCACACGATTTGGGTACTTGAATTACTCTGTGCATCGCTCTTTACTGTTGACTTCGCTTTCCGAGGCGTTTATCTTGCTGCAAATCGTCGTCGAGAATACTTGCAATCAGTATCAGCTCTCGTCTACACTGTTAACATCTTGCCTGTGCTTCCAGCGTCATTCTTCATCCGCTTTCAGTAAGTCATTTTTTTCATCCACTACATACTTTCTGCTTTTACCCTTTTTTTTAAACAGTACGTTCTGGTACGGTGAATCGTGGTGGCGCTTCGTTTACCCGATGCGCTTTGCCATGTGCTATATGACTGGAAAAGCGGTGCTGAGTCGTTACCACGGGATCCTTAATCCTGTGCGACAATTTGCGCTCTTGTGCTATTTGCAGATTACGTGTATCTTGCTTGGAGCTGCTGGAATCATTCAGATTGCCGAGACAATGGACGGAACGCTTTCAGTTAAAAATCTTGGTGAATGGACATTTTTCAACTCGTTTTTCAACTCGGTTATGACGTTCGTGACAATTGACAAGCCTCCGTCGGATAACGCATTATCGAAGATATTTGTGGGCGTGCTTGTTTGCGTATTTGTCTTGGTCATCCCATATCAGATCTCAAATGTTATGGATCTTAGTCAGTCCGTCTCACCGTACGAGGAAGCCAAATACACTCCTTCTTCCAGCAGCAAACATGTTGTGCTTTGTGGAGATCTTACTCCGTTGCGAATTAGCCACTTTTTTCACGAAATTTTTCACAATGATCACGATTTCGTTGGCGTCCATGTCATTGTACTAAGTGAAGAAGCTCCCGTGACGTCGCTAAAGGCACTTCTTTTGGACCCTTTCTTTGCAAAACGCGTGTGGTTTATCCAGGGATCCTTGCTTGAAGTTGATGATGCAAAGCGCGCAGCTTGCGACTCAGCTGAAGCTATTTTTATGTTGTCGAACCGTGCAGTTGATGAAGATTCGTCAGTAAGTGACCATCGCACACTGATGCGTGTACTTGCGGCGAAGCGCCAGGCACCAAAGGCGCGAATTTTCGCGCAACTTCATCGATCCGTACACTGCCAGCTTGTTCGCGATATGGGAGTTCAGGACGTTCAATGCGTATCTGAGGTTACGCTGTCCTTACTTGGCCAAAACTGTATTTGCCCTGGGTTTTCAACCTTTATGTACAGCCTCACGTCGACTTCAAGCTTTGTTGATGACGATAATGAAGGTTTAGGAAGTGATGCGAAGCGTAAAAACCGATCCACAATTGTTAATAAGGGCGAGGGATCTTGGGCGGACCGATATTTGCTTGGAGCGAGTCATGAGGTGTATGTAGTCGAACTTCCTTCGCCTTCTGTGGTTGCTGGCAAGACGTTCTCGGAAGTGGCATCACTCGCCTACTCTCATTGTAACGGAATAATTGTCTTTGCCGTTGCTGACGGGCCTCGAGAAAAAGTGGTTCTGAACCCAGGTGACACATACACGTGTGCAGGTGGAGAGACGGCGTACGTAATTGCGCAAACCCAAGCCGATGCCAGTTCTTTAACTCATCTATCTACATCTGCTTTATTGCCGCTTGCATGGAGAGAATTGCAAAATTCATCTCCAGCATCATTTATGCGCATGAAGATCGGCTCGAATGATGAGTTAAAAACGAATACGCCTCCTAGACGACATCAAGCACGCCTCATACACTGGCAATTTGTAGATTACGATATACCGGAGCCTGAAAACGAGGTGAAAGGAGAAGAAGAATGCATGACCAATTCGTCTATCAAAAAGTCCTATAAGACGGCCAGAGATGCTGTCATTGAAGATATCGATGAACTTGGCTGCGGGGTTGCCCCAATCGTGATTTGTGTTAATGCTAAAGCAGCTTTTGTTTACGAACTGGAGCACCTGATCCGTCCTTTACGCGCTCGCTCACTCAAGCAGTACCATCCGGTGGTGATTTTATCAGCCAGGCTTCCTGATGACGATATTTACCAGAATTTGAGCTACTTTCCTGATGTATATTTCATACTTGGTGACCCTTTTCGTCATAAGACTTTGTGTCGAGCAGGGATTTCGGAAGCCTATCGAGTGTTAATTTTGGCAACTCCGAATTCTGCTTCGAAACACAACGCAGAATTGCTGCAAGATGCTGTACGTCGTAGATGGCTTGGAAGCTGTATAATTTGATTGACTGACGACTAAACCTGCAATGTTTTTACTACATAAAGGAATCTATTGCGCTTCACAAATTCATCACAAGCTTCATTGGTGTCGTAAAGGCCCCACGAGTTATCATTGAGGTGGGAAGTCGTGCAAGTGTGCACTTTATCGCGCAAAATTTGCAGGAAACGGGCTGGTTTTCTAGTTTTGAAAGGAACGACCAGCTCGCAATGTTTTCATCCTCGGAAACTTTTTCACGCAACTTTTTTCTCTCACCTGCGTTCACTTCCGGATTAACTTACAGCACTTCACTGTGCGACAGCCTTCTAATCAATCAATTTTTTAATGGCCGGATAAAAAAGATATTGGGAGAATTTATGTTCACCTCCGGTGCGGGTGACGCATGGGCAGCGTTGCGGGGTGAGAAAGCGAAAACGGATCTTCAGCGTAGCTCTCTTTTCGCCGTCGAGGTGCCGCTTGATTTTGTTGGACGTTCGTTTGAGTATGTTTTCCATTATCTTCTATCATCAGATGATATTTTAGTGATTGGACTCTATCGCTGCTTTCCTTACGTGAATACTGCAAGCGAGACGACGTCTAAGGCCCGAATTGAAGTGCCTGAAAAGGACAGAAGTGTGCCATTTGGCTACGTGTATGTCAATCCTCAGCCTTTTGAAGTCCTTACAGGTGATGACTTGCTTTACGTTCTGACGGACAAGCAACCCTGTTGGGTAGAAACTTAGCGTGTATAGGATTGTGCAGATGTAGTTTAAGACGCGTGACCACTTAGATATCATTTAAGTTTCGTTGTCATTTCAATATGATACTTCCACGATACATGTAACGAAGAATGGCATGAATAGAGCTTTTATAAAACTGAAGTACTCAATGTTGTGCTCTGAGACGTAACCTTGCTTAGATGTTTCGTCTATATTGGTCAATAGTCTATTGCTGTCAGTCAGTAAAAAAATACTTTCAAAATAGTTGTAAAATCGGATTTATTGTTTGATCGCAGCATTTCTCATTCTTTCAGAGAATTTTATGGATTTGCACTGAATGTACCGGTGTTACAGTAAATGTGAATTTCGCACCGTTCCACATGTTCAGGGAAACTGCAACTGCAAGTTGCAAACTCCATTGTACATCGTTAGTCACTTCATCTTTCATTTGAATATGATGAGCCATCTTAAATCACCAACCACCAGCTCAAGGACAAAAGAAGTGTCAGTGTCAGTGTCGCCAAAAGCTCAAAAGCTTGTACTCCACCAGAGTCATAACCACAGCGTATACGGTTTATGCCCACACCATGACGCCAACGCGAAA